GGTCCCGGGTTCGATTCTGGTCAAGGGCATGTACCTTGGTTGCGGGCACATCCCCGGTGGGAGGAGTGCAGGAGGCAGCTGATCGATGTTTCTCTCTCATCGATGTTTCTAACTCTCTATCCCTCTCCCTTCCTCTCTGTAAAAAATCAATAAAATATATTAAATAAATAAATAAATAAATAAACATAGGCATTGGAAATAACCTATATACCCAGTAGTAAAGGAATAGTAACATGAGTATATAATAATTAAATTTTAGCATATCTATAAAATTGAATATGATATTACTATTTATATATTTACAAGGATTTTTTAATGGCCTGTGAAATGCTTATGAAAGAACATGAAGTATAAAGGTAATATGAGCATTATCATGTAAAAAAATATATAGATAAAATGCTGGAAGAAAATACACTTAAATGTTGACAATGGTTATTGCTAGTTCATGGGATTATGAGTGATTTCCTTTTCTTTTTTTTTTTTTCTTACCTTTTTTGGGGTGTTGTCTAAATTTTCCAACATAAAAATGTATTGTTGCTTTTTAAAAATAACAGCTTTATTAAGATATAATTCACATACCAGTGAGAACAGTTTGTGTTCAATTTAAGCTACACAATTCAATGGGGTTGTTTTGTGTGTGTGTGTGTGTGTGTGTGTGTGTGTGTGTGTGTGTGTTTGGGTTTTTTTTTGTATATTCACAGAGTTGTGCAACCATTAACCACAGTCTAATTTCAGGACACTTTCACCATCCCAAAAGAAACCATGTCACCATTAACAGTCATTCCTACTCCCTCTCTCAACCAATCACTAATTTACTTTCTATCTCTATAAATTTGCCTATTCTGGATGTTCTATGTAACTGGAGTCATTGGCTTCTTTGGTGCAGGATACTGCTTCAAGGTTCATCCACATTGTATCAAGTATCAGTATTTCATTTCTTTTTATTGCCAAATAATACTCCATTTTGACTATTCCACATTTTATGAATTAATTCATCAGTTGATGGGATTTGGTTTGTTTCCACTCTTTGGCAATTATGAATAATGCTGCTGTGAGCGTCCTTGTACAATTTTTTTGTGGACATATGTTTTCAATTCTCTGGGTAAATACCTAGGAACAGAATTGGTAGGTCATATGGTAACTTTGCTTAGCATTCTGAGGAACTGCCAAACGATTTCCCAAAGTGGCTGCAGCATTTTACATTCTAGCAATGCACGAGGGTTCCAATTTCTCCACATCTTTGTCAACACTTGCTGTTATTTCTCTTTGATTATAGCCATCCTAGTGTGTGAGAAGTACAATCTCATTGTGGTTTTGATTTGTATTTCTCTAATGACAAACATGAATCTCCTTTCATGTGGTTTTTGGCCATTTGTGTATCTTCCTTGGAGAAATGTCTATTCCAGTGATGGCAAACCTTTTGAGAGAGGCGTGACAGCATTTTGAAAAACCCTAACTTAACTCTGGTGCCGTGTCACATACAGAAATTTTTTGATATTTGCAACCATAGTAAAACAAAGACTTATATTTTTAATATTTATTTTATATATTTAAATGCCATTTAACAAAGAAAAATCAACCAAAAAATGAGTTCGCGTGTCACCTCTGACACACGTGTCATAGTGAAGTATGGTAGCAATCATCTCAGGTAGAAACTATAGTTTAACTTTACCCTGCTGTTTGGTTTCTGTACTTATTTGTTTGCTAAAATAACGGAAAAGTTATTTTGATTTTCTGAATTATATAAATTATCTCCAGTTAATGTGTCAGACCTAAGGGCTCTAGATAATGTGTTTCTGTCAATTCCAAGAGACCCAAAACTATAATTTAGATAACATGCTGCTTCTGCTTCTGTAAACTGCTTTTTGCAAATCAGGTTCCTCATTCCAAACCTTGGGATGTAATCAATACCTTTGTGATCTTTGCCTATATAAGTCTGGTTTTGCGACCATCTTATTACTATGAGAGTTGGGAGAGCAAGATGCCCCCTCATAGTCCCGGATTGCAATAAATGTGACTCTTTAATTCGACTTCTTGAGGCGTCCTTCTGTGATTTGCAGGGTACATTACAACATTAGGTTCGCCATCACTGGTCTATTCAGATGTTTTGCCCACTTTTTAATTGTGTTGTGTTTTTATTGAATTGTAAGAGTTCTTTATATATTCTAAATACAAGTCTTCTTATCAGAAATATGATTTGCAAGAATTTTCTCCCATTTTTGGGTTGTCCTTTTACTTTCTTGATGATACCAACTATAATTTTAAAAATTTTAATTTTGATGAAGTTCAATTTATCTATATTTGTTGTTATTAAGGGTGCTTTTGGCATTGTATATAAGCAAAGATTTACTTTCATGTAAACTTCTAAGAGTTTTATAGTTTTAGCTCTTACATGTAAATCTATGATCCATTTTGGGTTAAATTTTGTTGTGGCAGGGAGGAGTCTAATTTCATTCTTTTGCATGTGGATCTCCAGTTGTCAGAGCAGCACCATTTGTTGAAAAGACAATTCTTTCCCTCTTGAATGGTCTTGGCATCGTTGTTGAAAATCAATTGACTGGAAATATTTCTGGAGTCTCAATTCTACTCCATTGGCCTACATGTTTACTCTCATGCCAGTACTACACGCTGTCTTGATTAGTGTAGTGTTTGTAGTAAGTGTTAAAATCTGGAAGTGTGAGTTCTTCAACTTTGTTCTTCCTTTACAATATAGTTTTGGCTATTTTGGGTCCCTACGTTTCCAAGTTTTGCTTATATACCCAGAAGGGAAAAGTGTTTTTTTTAGAAAAGAGAAAAAGAGAAAAAGGAAGATAGATTTTGCTGAAGGAACTGTGAAGTTCACTTTGTGTTTTCTGAGTGGTACTATGCAGCCCCCGTTTTCTTTGGGGCAGGGGAATTTTTTCTCTAATAAATTTTGTCCTGGTCATAGTAGATTTTTTTTTCACCATTCGACAATGTACAGGGTATTGATTTAGTCAAAGTCTCATTTCCTGTTTTGAATCACTTGGCCGGGTCAGGGGTTCTTTCCACAAATGGGCTCCCACAAAACCCTAATTTTGGGTTTGCTCCTAGCAAAGTATTACCACACTCTATTGTTATGGTCTCTACAGTATTTTCATTTCAATCTCATTAGCCAAATGGAGAAGAGAGGAAGGCAGTCCAGCTGAACCGCAGGAGCAAAGGCAGGAGGATGGGTGTACCTAGCACCTTCCAAGCTAGGGACGAGTTTGGGGTAGCTGAAGCCAAAGGGCAGGGGCAGTTGCATTTGTGTGTTTTGTTTTGTTTTTAAATATATTTTATTGATTTTTTTACAGAGAGGAAGGGAGAGGGACAGAGAGTCAGAAACATCGATGAGAGAGAAACATTGACCAGCCACCTCCCGCACCGCCCCCCCCCCTCAGGGATGTGCTCGCAACCAAGGCACATGCCCCGACCGGAACCGAACCCGGGACCCCTCAGTCCGCAGGCCGACGCTCCATCCACCGAGCCAAACCGGTTTTGGCTGCATTTGTATTTTTAAGAGATCCCTCCAGCCCTGACTGGTTTGGCTCAGTGGATAGAGCGTCGGCCTGCCGACTGAAGGGTCCCAGGTTTGATTCTGGTCAAGGGCATGTATCTTGGTTGCAGGCACATCCCCAGTGGGGAGCGTGCAGGAGGCAGCTGATCGATGTTTCTAGCTCTCTATCCTTCTCCCCTCCACTCTGTAAAAAATCAATAAAATATATCGGTTCAGCACAGCGGTTCTCAACCTGTGGGTCGCGACCCCTTTGGGGGTTGAACGACCCTTTCACAGGGGTTGCCTAAGACCATCGGAAAACACATATATAATTACATATTGTTTTTGTGATTAATCACTATGCTTTAATTATGTTCAATTTGTAACAATGGCCCTAACCAGTTTGGCTCAGTGGACAGAGCGTCGGCCTGCGGACTCAAGGGTCCCAGGTTCGATTCCAGTCAAGGGCATGTACCTTGGCTGCAGGCACATCCCCAGTAGGGAGTGTGCGGGAGGCAGCTGATCGATGTTTCTCGCTCATCGATGTTTCTAGCTCTCTATCCCTCTCCCTTCCTCTCTGTAAAAAATCAATAAAATATATTTTAAAAAAAACAACAACAATTTGTAACAATGAAATTAGGGGTCACCACAACATGAAGAACTGTATTAAAGGGTCGCGGCATTAGGAAGGTTGAGAACCACTGCTCCAGCAGCTCTGTAAGGTATTGAGTCTTGCAGCTGGAGGTAGTGGAGGCTGTTGGTTGCCTGGAGAGTATGGCACACTTACAATTAGAGGATAGAAACCTCTGGCTTGGAATCTCCAAACTGAAGCAGGTAAATTCTTCATGCTTTGGGCCGCATTCACTCTTAAGATCTCAAAGCCCATTTTAATTTTTTTTTCCAGCCCAGGGTGGTTGTTGCCCTTTCCCTTTTTGTTTTCCTAGAGACACTTACTTCTATAACTTTCAACGGAAAATCCCTGTATTTCCGCGGAACCTCGGGGGCTAGGAGTGCTCTGTTTCTGGGCTCCTGGGAGGCCTGCGGCCACAGGAAGAAACTGAGGTGCATTTCTGCACAGGTTTTATCAAGCCAGGGCTTGGTTGAAGGCTTCTTCCCACCTCCGTCCCAATTACATCAAACCACACACACAGATGGAGGTTCAGACACATCCTGACAGAAAACCGCCCGCAGGATCTGAGGAACCCCGAACCTACAGCCAAGGGCGTGTCGGGGCGGGGCGGGGCAGGCCGGCCGCGGCACCGCCACCTGCCTTTCGCGATCACACCCTTCCCCGGGGGCCGAGGTGGCAGGAGAACCCTGGCGCCCTCCGCCGGGGGTTCTGGCGCGGGCGGGCGGGGCGGGCGGGTCGACTTCCCGGCGCCAGGGGGCGGGGCCTCCCTGCTGGGCTGTGTGAGTGACGGCGCCGGGCCCCGCCCCTCGGGAAGGAGGGCGGGGCTCGGGGCGCGCGCGAGCGGGGCGGGAGCAGGCCTGGGAGTCCGGGGAGTCGAGCGCAGCCATCGGAGCGCCTGGGCGGCGCGGCGCGCGAGATGGCTCCGGTCGCGGACCGTCAGGCCTACTGGGGCCCACGACCTCCACGCTCGACTGGTGCGAGGAGAACTACGCGGTGACCTGGTACATGGCCGAGTTCTGTGAGTGCGGTGCCTCCCCGTCCCCGGCCGGACGCGGGCGGGCGGGCGGGCGGGCGGGCGCGGGGCTGAGGGGGAGACGCCGTTTGAGGAAGGGTGAGGGCGGACCTGGCCGCCGGGGAGGCAGCAGGCCCGACCCCGGGGGGTGGCGTGGGAGCCCGGGCCGGGGCGGGGAACGAAAAAGCTGCGGCTGAAGAGACAGGACCGGGAGCCGGTGCGTCGCCGAGGCGTGCTAGGGTCTGGACGGGCTGCGGGGTGGGGGCAACACCTGCTCCCACGGTGGCTGCCGCCGCCGTCGGGGCCGGGGAGCGGGGAGCCGGTCTTCCCGCGCCCTCCCCTCCCCCACACGTGGGCACCCTGAGGTCTTTGCTTTCCTCGTTCTCGGTTAGGGTTAGACCTCTCGGGTCACCTCCAGCGAACGGTTTTCCAGGGCCAGGTCTTCCCCGACCCCGTCCCCCGCCGCCTGGGAAATCTTCAAGCCCAGAGAGCCTCTGCCCTCCGAGGACCGCTGTGCCGCCCTCTCCCCGCGCCAGGAGTGGGGGGCAGAGCGCCCCGTTAGCCCGCACCTTCCTGTGGCGCCAGGCTCCAGCGAGCACGGGGGGCGCGTCGCTCCCACTCGCCTCCTGTCCCACTGCCTAGGGCAGCGGTTCTCAACCTGTGGGTCGCGACCCCTTCGGCGGTCGAACGACCCTTTCACAGGGGTCGCCTAAGACCATTCTGCATATCAGATATTTACATTATGATTCATAACAGTAGCAACAGTACAGTTAGGAAGTAGCAACGAAAATAATTTTATGGTTGGGGGTCACAACATGAGGAACTGTATTTAAAGGGCCAGAAGGTTGAGAACCATTGGCCTAGGGGGTAGGGGTCATCTGGGGACACTTTCCACTGGTTGCATATTCCTTCAGCCGCTGCCCCTGACCGTGGCTGGCCTGTGTGTGTGTGTGTGTGTGTGTGCGTGTATATGTGTGACAGTGGCGTGTGTGTGTGTGTGTGTTTCCCTGGATAGTTATCCCTGCCAGGCTAGGAGAGCACCGGAAAAATCTGCCACCGGTTTTTCTGTTGTTTACTTTGGTCATGTTTTGAGAGCACAGCGTTTGATACTTCTTCAGTCACCTGCTGCCGGCTAGGTACAGGGAGTATATTTTGGCTATCACTTCCTTCTTTTCATTTGATTCCCTTTCTCAGGACATGAAGCAAAGTCTTTTTAGCTACACCTTCCCATCGTTGGGTCCTTCTCCCAGGCATGTGTGCTTGGCTTGTAGAAGAGAGGCAAGGATTTCATGCCAGCTCGTGCTACTTAATTCTGTTCCCAGTAATTGGCTAAGTTAGAGAGAGAGAGAGAGAGAGAGAGAGAGAGAGAGAGAGAGAGAGAGAGAGAGAGAAAAGAAAGAAAGAGAGGAAAGGAAAAAAGACAACTCTTGCTGCAGTTTTCAGGACTTAGTACCATTCCCTTTATACCACGATTTAGGCTGAGAATTTTCCTGAACTGCTGGCTTAAATGAATATTTTTTACTTAATAGTGAAAGAATATGGGCAAAGGGCTCAATCTGCAGTGTAAGTGCTTGGCGGTCTACATGTTGGCAAGGGAAGGGCTTTACCGATTTGTTGTTGGATAATGCTGGCCAGCCCACACCTGGTCCAGAGGAGGCCCACGAGGGAAGGGACATAAAACCGTGCTGTCTGAACTGGAAATGGAAGAGAAACTCAGGGTCTTCAGACGTTGGATGAGCTGTCATATCGCGCATTAAACTCTCCATATTTCCCTGTAATGTGGAATTAGCACCTGTGCGTGGAAGCTAACTGTGAGGGGAGAGATTTTGCTTCAACCTAAGGCAACTTTTTATCTAAAGATAGGATTTTGGAATGGGTTGCCTTGTAAGGCAGACAGCTTTCTGTCACTGAAAGTGTTTAAAACAGACATTGCTCCACTAACTCATGTGAATATTTTAGGCGGAATTAATTGTTTAGTAGAGAAAAGGGGTTGGCTTTAGTTGGCCTTTAGGTTCTTTATGGGTAAATATAGGTAATAATGACTCTCCGTTTAGAACCAAGGGTTAGAATCAAAAGAGAAAACTGACAGTTAAGTCATGTGAGCTATGAGAGAGCAAGATACTACGGTTCTGGCAGATAGCTCTGGGAAATGGGAAATGGCCTTAGTTCTTCATGTCTTCAGAAGAGGAAACTCTGAGAAGACTGCAGAGGGGGTTTTGACATAGGAATCAAGGGTTGCAAGAAGAAAATGAGTGAATGTTGGCCACCCTTTGCACATGTGCCTTGGGAGAAAAAATGATCTTGAGGAAGTTGAGGTCAAGTGGTGGGTATGTATCATATGTTGGAGTAAGAGAATTTGATATTTGAAAAATATGCTGATTAATAATGATGTTTTTAAAAGAAATGCAACTTTATCATTATTCTAATATTTACATTAATGATAGAAATATCCTATATAATAAAAGGGTAATATGCAAATTGACCCTAACAGCAGAACGACTGGGAATGACTGGTCACTATGACACACACTGACCACCAGGGGGCAGATGCTCAATGCAGGAGCTGCCCCCTGGTGGTCAGTGCGCTCCCACTGGGGGAGCTCTGCTCAGCCACAAGCCAGGCTGATGGCTGCCAGTACAGCGGTAGTGGTGGGAGCCTCTCCCGCCTCCTCAGCAGCACTAAGGATGTCCGACTGCAGTTTAGGCCTGCTCCCCGCTGGCAAGTGGATATCCCCTGAGGGTTCCCGGGCTGACAGAGGGATGTCTGACTGCTAGCTTAGGCCCAATCCCCCCGGGGAGCAGGCCTAAGCCAGCAGGTGGTCATCCCCCGAGGGGTCCCAAACTGCGAGAGGGCACAGGCTGGGCTGAGGGACCCCTCCCCCCGAGTGCATAAATATTTGTGCACCGGGCCTCTAGTTAAGGATAATAATGGTGATAATAGCTATATCTAAGTGCCTCCTATATACTACACTTTCCTAAGCACTTCATATATGTTATCTCTTTTGATCTTTGCCACAGTTCCAAAAAGAAGGTATTATTATCCTCATTTCACAGATTAAGAAATTGAAGCTCTAAGAAGTAACTTATCTAAGTTTGCAAAGTGGTGTAGAAGTAGTATTCAAGTTGAGGTCTGACTCTAGAGCTACTATGCCATATTACTTCTATCACATTCATTGTTTTGTCCCCACATGCAAGGGATGAGGACAAGCATAAAATAATATACTATCACAAGGGACAGACTGAATAACTGTTTAAGGAGCCTATCTTTCAGGATTGGGGGGTGTGTATTTTGGATAACATAAAGATGAGTTGGGGGAATTGCATGTTCAGGTATGAACACAGTTCTCAAAAGCTATCTTCATTAACATCAGCCAAGTTCAATTCAAGTTTCTTTTCTGTTTGAGCAGATTGTAAGGACCAGGGGAAAGGTAGAGGGTTTCTCTTTAGTTGTGAAATAATAAGCACCTTGATGTGCCGACAGTTATAGGTACAGGCAGTCCTCACTTTGCAATGTAGTGCGGGGCAACATAAATGACCATGCAAGTTAAAACTGGCAAAACTAATGGGAAAATTTATGATTGTTCTGTGACCTTTAAAGACGTTGTTAAACAACAAAATAAACTGACAAACAAAATAAGACTATAGACATGGAAGCATGGAACAGATTGTCGTAACAAATCTCAGAGGGAGGGAGGAAGAGAGGGTGAGAAAAGATTAATCAAAGAACTTAATATGCATATATGCATAGTCCATGGACACAGACAGTAGACAGAGGAAGGACTGGGGTGGGGTGGGAGCCAGGTGGAAGGGGGCAAAAGGGTGAAAATGGGGGACATCAGTAATACTCTCAATAAAATAAATAAAGATGTCAAATACTGTACACCTTTTTTATTGATTATAAATATATAGAGAAGTAAAAAGTAAAATTAATATTTATTTAGTATACTATAGTTTAAAATATTGAGAATTAAAATGTTTGTGTTGTTGTTTTTTTTTGTAAAAGAACTTATCAAGAGGAGTTTGAACAGTGCCTGCCCTCTTGATATTATAACTCGTGATATGGAATGAGTATGTTTTTCTTTGCCTTGGTGAATTGTTATAGTATTTTCTCTCAGAACTTTGAAAATATTATTCCAATATGTGCTGGCTTTTATTGTTGCTGATGAGAAGTCTTCCAATAGCCTAATTGTTGTTCCTTTATAGTTTATTTTGTCAAATTCACCAACAGAATTCGAAAGAAGTGACTTGGTTAATCACTGATGGTGATGTGCTTCTATTATTTACATAGTGATTTGTGGACTGAAGAGCTGGTAGCAATGTTTGTAGTACTGTATTTAATTACTCACTGTTAATATACTGTGGTAACTGAAATTTGTGCATTTTAGAACCTTGTAAAGTGAAGACTGCTTGTGCATTTCTAATCCTTAGAACATTCCTAGTAAGTAATAAGTAGGTGGTGTTATTCCCATTTTTTAGATGAGGACACCAAGTTTTAGAGAAGTTGAGTAACCTGCTCAGCATCGTACGGCTATAAATGGCAGAAATTATATTCAAATATAGGTCTGATAGCTCTTTCTACCAAGACATACAGTCTACAGGAAGTGGAATTTCAGATGGTATTGGTTTCATGGAAGAAATATTACCTAAAGGGAAATGGAAGTGAATTCTATGCTTTAATTATGGCCTTCCAGGAGAATTACCTAGTGAAAAAATTTTATGAATGTTTTGTTTATTCAGCAAGTACTTGTTGAGCACCTTTTTTTGTCACTGACTCAGAATACAAAACTATGTGAAAACTGTCTCTGTATTCAAGGTAGCTAACAAGCCAGTAGGTGTATGAACAGGTAAGTTCAAATAGGCATTTCCTATTTTCAAGGGAAATGCATTACTAAAAATATATTTGAAAGAAGAATGTCCAAGAATTGACATATTATGAAGGAGGGTTTATTTATCATAAAGCTAAAATTAAAAAAAAAATTTTTGTTAATCCTCACCCGAGGATATTTT